TGTTCAGAGACCACCGAATGCTTGGAAGAATCAAATTTTATGTTATTAATATGCTCCTTTAATCTAGTACGTAATTTTCTTTTGGTTTGCCCAACATAAGAAACTTCACAGTCTTTACAATTAATTTTACGACATTATTATTATTATTATACACGTTTTTGTCCTTGTAAACTCTAATAAATTTGTTAAGATTATTAAGACAACGGCAACCCACTCTAAAATCTGATTTTTAATTGTCGATGCTACTGTTTCAGAAATGTTATTAATATAGGGATGACAAAAAACTTCTTGTTATTTTCCTCTGCAATATTTTTTGTTCTTTTATTATAAAATAAAAATTGTTCACTACTTTTATTCTTCTATTGATTTCCTTAAAAATTAAATGAATGGGGTAACCGTTATCCAATAATATTTCAATACAATGTTCTAATTTTTCTTGTGATATATGGGATGAGATAATAGTAATGCTCTATCTATGAGATTATAAATCACCCCTATTTTGTGGCACATGGGGTGATTCGATAAGAAAGATAGTACTCTATCTGAACAAGTCTTTTTGAAACCAGTCTATGTGTATGACGTTATCAATGATCTTAATGTTTAAATCTAAAAAATTTATGCTTTTCTCAATTTCATATTCAACCGTAAATTGTAGTCGTTTATGGTAACTATTGAACTTGTTCAATATACTATCTACTTTATTCTTTGATACCCACCATAATAATGTCATCTACATATCTATGATACATTCTAATATCAAAATCCAATGTGTTAATTATCGATTCTTCTAGATCTTGCATAACAATATTAGCAATTATTGGCGATAACGGGGAACCCATAGCCGTGCCATAAACTTGTTTGTAAACGATGCCATTAATGTGAAATATGTTGACGACAGTATAAATTTAATCATAAAAATGAATTCATTTTTTGGAATTAATGTTTGTGTATTAAAATAAATAATCAAATTCTTGATGTTGCCAGTCAATAATTAAAATAATTTTAACGACCAATACTGGCTAATAAATATTTAATAATCAACACAACGTTTCGACCATGGGTTTTGGTCCTTATCAAGTGTACTACAAAAAAGTAATAAAAATAAACAAATAAAAATAAATTTATAGTAATGCGTAAAGATCTATATAACAACGTTAAACTTTACCTTAAATTAAAAACCGTATACGTGTTGTGCGAACGAAACTTCTTGTCATACTGTGATAATATAATAGCCGAGGACTACACAACTTTTAGTATATTGTCATAAATATTACTCAAATTATCATGTCTTTTGTAGGTTGATTGAGTTATTAGTTTTTTTAATGAAAAACATTTCCGCTATTCCTCTCTTGTTTACCGGTCAAACAAGAGATTCTTAAGTACTCGAGTTAAAGAACATTTTAATAATATTAAATTGCACACGTCTAATTATTCGGTTATTAGTAAACATAAATTAGATTTTAATCACAATTTTGACTGGGCAACACCGACGATATTACACAATAAAAAACATAAAAAAGAGAGAAATAGCGGAAATGTTTTTCATTAAAAAAACGAATTTATAAAAAGAACTGAGGATATATTTAAAGTAAAACAGAATATACACCTCCTTCTTCTCGGCTATAGAGCCAAAACACGATGTTATTGTGAAATAAAGTAAGAAAATTGAGGAATCTGGAATTTCGTATCCTGTGGCTGGGATCTCAAAAACTCTCCTTGTACCTCTTTTTAAATACCCCTGTAAGAAATAGGCGAGAAAAATATTGGTCCGAAAGTTGGCTAAATCGGGAATCAAACCCGAGACCTTCCGCTTGCCGGGCGAATGCTCTTCCAACTGAGCAATTCAGACACTTACGAATAAATACTTTTCTCAATGTTTTAACACCCCCCCCCCCCCCCCCCCAACGCGACGTACTTATTGAGTCAGCTCTTTTAATTTTTAAAGCCACAATCTCCACTTGATTCCTCTCGACCAATAGAGCCAAACGCGATGTTATTGCGACAGTTATGAAAGAAAGAACATCTGAAAAAGGAATTTGAATCCTATGGTTGGGATCTCAAAAATTCCCCTGGTTCCTTCTCTTAACATCCCTGTAAAGAAATAGGCGAGAAAAGTTTGAGATCCCAACCATAGGATTCAAATTCCTTTTTCAGATGTTCTTTCTTTCATAACTGTCGCAATAACATTGCGTTTGGCTCTATTGGTCGAGAGGAATCAAGTGGAGATTGTGGCTTTAAAAATTAAAAGAGCTGACTCAATAAGTAATGATAAGAATATTAAGAATATTAGATCGACTCTTATTAATACATCTTTATATATATAAATTACGTGTCACGTTGTTTGTCCGCGATGGACTCCTAAACTACTTAACCGATTTCAATCAAATTTGCACACGGTGTGCACTTGGATCCAACTTGAAACATAGGATAGCTTACATCTCAATTTATAGTCGCAATATTATTTTATTGCAAATTATTTGTTTATTATTATATGACAGTCACAATTATCTGTTATCTCCACTGTTGTCACAGATGGCGATATCTGTTGACTGGATTGTCATTTACTATGTACTTTTCAAAGTAAATATTATTATATGACAGTCACAGTTATCTGTTATCTCCAAACGATTGTCACAGATGGCGATATCTGTTGACTGGATTGTCATTTACTATGTACTTTTCAAAGTAAATGACTTTCCTATTTTGTTTTGCGCGGTGACTTCGTGAACAAAGCACGTATACATCGACAAAAACGACACCAAGTTCGTGTTGTCAGTCCCGATTATTCCTCCGAAATAGTTGCTGTAAAATTCGTGGAAATTATTCCTGCTTTTTAATTGTTAGTGCCTCATTGTTCAAAACAAGATATACATGTAAGTATTATCACATAGTTGCTATGCATCAAATCACACTGTGTATGATATATGTATTTTTATGGTCATGAGGTATTTTATTCAACCTATATTAAAAATTATTTTGCACTCCTTATTTCAATGTGCTATAGTAGCATGTTTTACAGTTTTATTTTTAATATTTAAACGTTTAAATTTTTATTTAAAGTCGAATGCCACCGAAAAAATCGAACCTCAGCAACGCGCGGAGCAGAGAGGCACGACGCAAACGTGCTGAAAGAGCTCATCTGTCGACAGAACAAATCTCAACAAGGAATGCAGCTCAAAACATCAGGACAGCGGAGGGTCGTGCACAAGAATCTCAAGAACAGCGTGACGAACGTCTGCGACAGACTATTGCGAGAACAAGAGCGGCACGAGAACAAAACATAGCTACAGCACGAGCACAAGAACGACAGAGGCAGCGGACCAGCCGCTCATTAACACGTGCATCATTTGTTCGTCTTGCTTTCGAATATGCACCAAATATTAACTACTCTGCGCATTCAAAAATTGCTATCGGTGCAATGGATAAAGTATGTCAATATTGTCAGGCATTGAAATTTCAGAATGAAACACCCGGCATGTGCTGCGCATCAGGAAAAGTTGTGCTGTCATCTCTTCCTACTCCGCCGGAACCTTTATTATCCCTTCTTGCTGGCGATTCAGATGATTCAAAATTATTTTTGCGTAAGATACGCAAATTTAATTCTTGCTTCCAAATGACGTCATTTGGGGCAACTAAAATTTGCGATCTCGCATCCGATGGACGTAATTTTGAAACTACATTCAAAATACAAGGCCAGGTGTACCATAAAATCGGGTCATTGATGCCAATGCCTGATAATGATCCGAAATTTCTTCAAATTTATTTTATGGGCAATTGTGAAGAGCGCGTGACAACTCGGTGCCAGTATAATTTCATTGAACAAGCAGAGGAAAGAGCAATTGTGATATTGCTGGAAAATTTTTTAGAAGATCAGAATCAACTAATTCAATTGATTAAAAGAGTTTCGCCACGATTGCAAAATGACAACTATCAAATCGTCATAAAAGCCGACAAAGTCCCATTAGGTGAACATGCTGGCAGATTCAACGCTCCAACTCTTGATGAGGTTGCTGTTATTATGGTTGGTGATCCAGTTGACAAAAGAGCTATAAAAATTACACGGCGAGACAACACTGTTAGTACGATTTCGGATCTACACCGTTCATATGACGCACTGCAATATCCATTAATATTTTGGCAAGGACAGGATGAATATCACCTTAACATCAAACAGTGTGATCCAAATACCGGTAAATTTGACTATTAACTATTTATTTTCTTACTGTATGTACGATTTTTAATTTCTTATTTTATTTTATTTTTATTTTTTTTTAGGTGCTCAAAGAGATAAAAAAGTTAGTTCAATGAACTACTACGCACACCGATTGATGATTAGACATAATCAGGACAACTACATCCATCGATATCGTCAGCTATTCCATCAATACATTGTTGATATGTATGCTAAGGTTGAAAGCAAACGCTTGCGATTCATTCGATACAACCAGGCTAAATTACGATCGGAAGAATACATTCACTTACGAGATGCTGTTGTTGGAAACATCGACGGAAATTTAAACCCCAATGACATCGGTAATGCTTTCATTTTACCTTCAAGCTACATCGGCAGTCCACGGAACATGCAGGAATACATACAAGATGCGATGACTTACGTACGTCATTACGGCCGACCAGATTTGTTTATAACATTCACATGCAATCCGAATTGGAAAGAGATACAAACTTTACTATTACCAGGACAAAAAGTAATTCATCGTCATGATATAACTGCACGTGTGTTCAAACAAAAATTGAAATCCTTAATTGATTTTATTGTTAAATATTCAGTTTTTGGTATCACACGTTGTTGGCTGTATTCGATTGAGTGGCAAAAGCGAGGTTTGCCTCATGCCCACATTTTAATTTGGCTTCAAGATAAAATCCGTCCAGAAGAAATTGATCAAATAATTTCAGCTGAAATTCCAGACCGATCAATTGATCAAGAATTATTTGATATTGTTACCAAACACATGATCCACGGGCCGTGCGGTGCTTTCAACATGACATTACCATGCATGGAAAATGGAAAATGTAAGAAAAATTTCCCAAAGCCGCATACGAATGACACTATCACGGATATTGACGGTTATCCAATGTATCGACGCAGAAATACTGAGAATGGTGGCCACACATTCACGATGCGACTGCCGAATTCTACAAATCAAGTAGAATTTGATAATCGGTGGGTGGTACCATACTCACCATTACTTTCAAAAACTTATGAGGCTCATATCAATGTCGAGCTTTGCAGTTCTGTAAAATCAATTAAGTACATTTGTAAATATGTAAATAAAGGCAGTGATTTGGCCATGTTTGGAGTACAAAATGTAAATGAAAATGACGAAATTACACGATACCAAATGGGTAGATACATCAGCAGCAACGAAGCTATTTGGCATATTCTTAGCTTTTCCATACACGAAAGAGACCCTGCTGTCCAGCATCTAGCAATACATCTTGAAAACGGTCAACGTGTATACTTCACTGAAGAAAATGTTCTCCAAAGAGCGCTTGAGGCTCCAAAAACGACACTAACTGAGTTTTTTACATTGTGTCAAAGATCTGACATTTTTGGCCAATTCGCAAAGACATTGATATATACTGATGTTCCACGTTATTTCACATGGAACAAATCTGGTAAAAAATGGGTGCCACGAAAACAAGGAAAACCACATCCTTCCGTTACAGGCATATTCAAAGCTAAGACATTGGGGCGACTTTACACGGTAAATCCAAAGCAACGTGAGTGCTTCTATTTACGTTTATTATTGGTGAATGTTCCCGGACCAACGTCTTTTGAATTTCTGCGAACAGTCAACGGCCAAGTATTCAATACATACCAAGATGCATGTCGTGAACTGCAATTGCTAGAAGACGATAACCATTGGGACTTAACGCTTGCTGATGCTGCGTTGACATCAACGCCCAATAACATTCGTCAGCTGTTTGCAATTATTTTGACGACATGTTATCCATCACAAGCACACACTTTGTGGGAAAAATATAAAAATTGTATGACAGAAGACATATTGCACCGAATTAGACAAACAGATCAATGCCAAAACATAGATTATACGCCTGAGATGTATAATGAAGCGTTAGTGTTGATCGAGGATTTATGTGTTTTAATTTCAAATTTACCACTTAATCATTATGGTATGCCATCACCTGCTCGCCCAGCCGCCGACTTAGTCAATACCGATTTACAACGAGAAAAACAATATGACCATCGTAATTTAGCAACAATTATCGTGAACAGTGAGCCATTACTGACAGCAGAACAAAAAATTATTTATGATCGGATTATGCTGGGTGTTGCTGCTGAACAAGGCGGTTTTTTTTTCTTGGACGCACCAGGTGGAACCGGTAAGACATTTTTAATATCGTTGATTCTTGCCAAAATACGGTCACAACAGAAAATCGCATTGGCAGTCGCATCGTCTGGCATTGCGGCTACTTTGCTAGATGGTGGGCGAACGGCACATTCAACATTCAAGCTGCCATTGGACATTCATAATAAGCCAAACGCATTATGTAACATAAAAAAGAATAGTGGAATAGCTGCAGTGTTGCGGAAGAGTTCACTCATAATTTGGGATGAGTGCACAATGGCACACAAATATTCACTCGAGGCATTGCATAGAACTATGCAAGATTTAAAAGGCAATGATAAACTTTTCGGTGGTGCTATCTTACTATTATCTGGTGATTTGCGACAGACCTTACCGGTTATACCTCGCTCTACTTTCGCGGATGAGATTAATGCATGTTTAAAACAATCATTTTTATGGCGAAGTGTTGAAACACTTCGATTGACTATAAATATGCGCATACAATTGCAAAATGATCCATCAGCACAAATATTTTCCGAACAATTACTAGATATTGGGAACGGTAAAATAGAACTGCAACCAAATACGCAATGCATTAAACTGCCAGACAATTTCTGCACTGTTCTTCACGGAAAAAATGAATTGATTCAGAGTATTTTCCCGGATATACAGAGTAATTACTTGAATCATAACTGGCTCAGTGATCGGGCTATTTTGGCAGCCAAAAATGTTGAAGTTGACGAAATTAACTTCCAGATACAACAGTTGTTACCAGGCGATCTGATGTCTTTTAAATCAATCGATACTGTTGTTGATGAAAATGAAAGTGTAAATTTTCCAATTGAATTTTTGAATTCACTGGATATACCTGGAATGCCACCACATAATCTTCGATTAAAGATTGGTTCACCTATCATTCTTTTGCGTAATTTGAATCCACCTCGATTATGCAACGGTACGCGTTTGGTCATCAAAAAAATCACCGGAAATATTCTTGAAGCAACCATTTTAACTGGAAAGTTTAAAGGAGAAGTGGTCCTGTTGCCACGTATTCCAATGATACCGTCAGATTCTACGATACCCTTCAGAAGGCTACAGTTTCCAATTCGTTTAGCTTTTGCCATGTCCATAAATAAGTCTCAAGGTCAAACAATGTCCATTTGTGGTTTAGATTTGGAAAATCCATGTTTTTCTCATGGGCAACTATATGTTGCATGTTCACGTGTAGGAAAACCGTCGAATCTATTTGTGTTAGCTAAAGACAGGTTAACCAAAAATATTGTGCACCGATTAGTGCTAAATTGAATTGAAAGTAAAAGTATTTATAATTCAAAATAATATATTTTATTGCTACAAATTTAAAACTATCTGCCCTACCTACCTCATTTATAAGTTTAAGTGTCACATGTTATTTACTAACAACTTTGTAATATACTCATTTGTTACAAACTTGAATACAAAAATAATAAAATTTAAAATTAATTTTTTTGTATTGATTTCTACTTAATATCAACTGTACGAAAATTTTGACCAATCGTGTTCAAAGTCCTTCCTCTTCAAATCCCAATTCAGTCGATTTTTATACCAGCTTTAAGGTTTCCGTCTTCGTTCGTAAATATTAATTTCATTATATTAAGAAGTAACGGTAGTAGAAAATCAGTCATGGAGGTCACCATGTTTTTTTACAAATGGCATCTATGTAAAAAAGCATAGTGATCCCCATGACTGATGTTCTTCTAACTTTCTCCGTGAATAGTTTACTACGAGCAATGTAATATATGTAAAAATGAATTTGTTTATGTGTTCGGGCTTTATGCGTTCGCGCATCATTCAACTAATTGAGTTGAAAATTGGTACAGTTGTTGTTGGCACTTGCGTAAAGGTTTCTGACGTAGTACCAACAATGTATAATAGGGGGCGCGCAAGATGTCGATTGAATAATTCACTTCTAATCCGTAGGATCAATCACATTATTATCTCGAGCGAAGCCGAGACAGGGCATACTAGTTTAATATAAATCACGATATACACCTCCTTCTTTTCGGCCATAGAGCCAAACACGATGTTATTGTGAAATAAAGTAAGAAAATTGAGGAATCTGGGAATTTCGTATCTTGTGGTTGGGATCTCAAAAACTCTCCTTGTACTTCTTTTTAAATACCCCTGTAAGAAATAGGCGAAAAAAATATTGGTCCAAAAGTTGGCTAAATCGGGAATTGAATCCGAGATCTTCCGCTTGCCGGGCGAATGCTCTTCCAATTGAACTATTCAGACATTTACGAAACAATACTTTTCTCAATACTTTTAAGTATTGTTCCGTAAGTGTCTGAATAGCTCAGTTGGAAGAGCATTTGCCCGGCAAGGTCTCGGGTTCGATTCCCGATTTAGCCAACTTTCGGACCAATATTTTTCTCGCCTATTTCTTACAGAGGTATTTAAAAAGAGGTACAAGGAGAGTTTTTGAGATCTCAACCACAGGATACAAAATTTCCAGATTCCTCAATTTTCTTACTTTATTTCACAATAACATCGTGTTTGGCTCTATGGCCAAGAAGAAGGAGGTGTATATCGTGTTTTATATTAAATATATTAATAAGAGCCGATCTAATATTCTTAATATTCTTATCATTAATATATTTACAGGAATAGGAACATTTAAAAGAAAATGTAGAATCTCGCTGAAACCGGATTGCTGTCCAATTGTAAGACCACCAAGGCGCATACCATATGCAATAAGGGACAAACTAAAAGCTACGTTAGATGACTTAAAACAGAAAAAAAACAATTGTTAAAACTGAGAGACCTGTCGACTGGGCAAGTAATTTGGTTATAGTGAAGAAACCAAATGGAATACTAAAAATTTGTCTGGACTCAGTAGATCTTAACAAAAGTATTAAAAGGGAACTATATTTATTACCAACTTTAGAGGAAGTGAGTGAGGTTCTGTCAGGTAAAGAATGATTTACTGTGTTAGATTTAAAAGATGGATTTTACCATGTAGAATTGGATGAAGATTTAAATAAACTATGTACATTTAATTCTTCTTTTGGTAATTACAGATTTAAAAGATTACCGTTTGGATTAAGTTTTAGGAGCGTGTTTAATGCAACTAGAAAAACCAATCTTTTTTGCATCAAGAAGTCTTACTAAAGCGGAGAGACAATATGCGCAAATTGAAAAGAAAATGTTAGCAATAAATTTTGCAGCACAAAAATTTAAAAATTATATTTATGGAAGAAAAGTTAATATATGGACAGATCATAAACCCTTAGTTACAATTATGAAAAAAAAATTAGCGGATATTGTTTTTCCAAGATTACAAAGACTAAAACTAAAGTTACTTAGATTTGAATTAGATACGAAGTATTGCCTGGGAAAACAGTTATATGTCGCTGATTTATTATCTAGAGATTATAATAAAGAAAAAGTAGAAGAAGATCTCAGTATGCTGGAGGTAGTACATAACATATATGCTATTATTAATATTACGGAAGAAAAGAAAATTAAATTTTAAAATAAAACAGAAAAGGATAAAATACTTAAGAAGGTCAAAAAATACTGCATAAATGGGTGACCACAAAACAATAATAAAGATAATGAAATAATAATGACATTTAAAATATTAAGAATGATTTAACTGTATTAGAGGATATAATATTATATAATGATAAAGTAGTAGTACCTGATAACTTAAAAGAGGAAATGTTAAAACTTGCTTATGAAGGTCACTTTGGAATAAATAAAACATTAAAAAGAATGAAAAAAACATTTTACTCGCCAAATATAAACAGTGATGTCATTGAATTTATCAAAAAATGCAAATTATGTGAAAAATTTCTTCGAGCTAAAAACAAAAAACCATGATAAAACATGACATTCCAAAGAAACCTTTTGTGAAAATAACAGCAGACATAGCACAAAACGGCGCACATAACTATTTGATTATTTTTGATTACTATTCTAAGTGGCTAGAGATAATAAAAATTAGGGATAAAACAACACAAAGTGTAGAAGTAGCATTTAAAAATGTTTCTCAACACATGGAATACCAGAGTACTTAGTAGCAGATAACATGCCATTTAGTGCATACAAATTTAAGAAATTTGTAAAAGAAACAGGAATGCAAATTATAACGTCACATTATCCTAAAAACAATGGACAGGCAGAAAGTGGCGTTAAAATAGCAAAATCCTTTTAAGAAAGCAGATAGATTTAGATACAACATTATTAAATTACAGAAACACAAAAATATCAGATATAGGATATTCACCGTCGCTTTTATTAATGAATCGCAGATTAAGAACTAAATTACCGATATCACAAGGACAACTAAATATTACAAATATAGACAGGAAAGAAGTACAATCTAAATTAATCAATAAACAAAATAAATTTAAGTCGTACTATGATAAGAAGACAAAAAAGCAAATTGCGTTTAAAATAAATCAAAATGTGACATTTAAAAAAGGAAGAGCATGGGAACAAACTAAAATAATAGGATTATGTAAGGAACCTAGGTCATATTTAATAAAAGATAAAAAGGGTCAGATTTTAAGAAGAAATAGTAGTCAAATTAGACAATCTAATATTGAAATGAATAGAATACCTATGTATGTATCTGATGAGGAAGATGATAGAAGTGAAGAAGTAAATAACAATGTAACAAATAATATTGTTCCAAATGAAAACGAAAAGGGTGCCGATAAGGCAAATAGTGAGGTGAGCGAAAATTTAGAAGAAAACAATGCAGATATAAATGAGGATGGGAGAAATGGCAATAATAATAATAATGTAAGCGAAAAAACAAGACCAAAAAGAAATATAAAACGTCCGAATAGATTTAAGGATTATATAACTTATAAATAAATACATTTATATATATATATATATATATATATATATATATAGAATTAGTCATTATCTTAAAAGAGGGAGGTGTTATATATATATATATATACATGTATAGGTAAAATAGGCATTAGATATAGTTAAGGAAGCATGAGAGAGATGGCGCCAGATTAGACGAATAATTGTAAGACAAGAAATATGTACACGAAATATTTGCATCAATAATAAAGCACTAATATATTACATGTTTATTACTATTAGTACAACTTATGTATTAAACACTTATCTCGGAGATGATACACATAAAGGAACAAAAGCATGGTATAAATAATAATACAGACACCGAATTGCTTAACAACACTTATTTTGACATTCTAGAAGAATTTTTAGACTTATTAAAATGTTTGTTTTTGCGGCTTGACACCTATATATTCAGCTTTTTTAACTGACTTGACATCAGTTAAGTACTTGTAAGTTCAACACAGGCCCGTAACCAGTGAGGGGGGGGGCAAATGGGGGCAATGCCCTATCTAGCAACTTTATTTGCCCCCTCCCTGGCAAATTTTTATCTTACCTTGGTAATTTTTATCTTATATATATATATATATCTTATACTACAGCGCGTGGAGATATTTTTAAAATTTCGATTTTCATGATATAAATGAACTACAAGTACAAAAACTTAAAAAATTTTATATTAAAATTCCGTGCAAAGAAGAACTTGTATGTGTAAAAAAGTTTTTTCAAGAAAATAATATAAAAAAGAAAGATTATTTTTCCGAATTATTTCACCAAAAATTTGCTTTTAAAGACACACAATTTGCTTGCTGCAATTACAGTTTTTGGTTGTAGTTCAGCCACTTGTGAAGCCTCGTTTAATACTTTAAATAGAGTACTAACGCCACACAGACAATTTAAATTATGTTGTTTGGTCAAGAAGCTAATCTAACAATATTACCTTTTGAAAAAAAGAAAACTGAAGCAATTGATATAAATGTTTTCTTACGAATTTTCAACGAGAGAGCTCGAAAATTACAATTATTCTAAAATATTAATATTTAGTTAATTGTAATTATATATATATATTATATATTACTGCTATATTTTATATTTTATCGATATTTAATAAATAATAAAAAATAATGTATTTTTGTGTATTAGAAAAAAGTTTTTGAGACTGCCCTATTTGGAATTTTATTTGCCCCCCCTGATATAATAAGCTAGTTACGGGCCTGGCTCTACAACAATTAGAGGCATTGTCATCTTAATTTATTCGAGACAATTGTAAGTAATAAGTAATTAATTTTTAATTTTTACATATACATAAGTTAATTTCTGTTTTATAATATAACTTCTTGCAAATAATACTTTTTAAATTCAGTTTATAATAATACAAATATTAAATAACTTGGAAGAGATGGATACGGTCATTGCCAAACTGATAGCCTTTCACCGAC